GCAAAAAAAAAAAAAAAAAAAAAAAAAGTTGAGACTCTTATAGGCCAAACTGAGTGGAAGAAAATTCATGGAAGTTGGTCAATGCTATTTAGTTGACTTGAGATTTTCAGTTTGCTCTAATTGTTCTGGATGTTATGTGCCCTCATGACAATATATAAAATACCTATGTTTTTCTTGCACGTTATTATGAGCCTGTTTACTATGTACCCCCTTAAGGTAAAGACAAGGCAGCCGAGGTATAATACAAGGAGATAAACTGGCTTATGTCTTTGTTACGTGTGTAAAAGCACCGAGCTTGAGGTCCATGAATATAGTTTCCTAGCTGGTATTTCTTTTAAGACATGGTTGTTTGTGCCCTTTACTTGCTAAGTAACAGTAAAAATCCTTGATAAAATACACAGAAGAGAGAATGAAAATAGCACTTATTAGAAAAAAATGTGAAGATAGGACAGGAAAAGAAAATATTCTTCCAATAATTATTTAAAAATTCAAAAGTTAATGTATTAACATAAAATAATAATTAAATGATGTGTAATTAAACAATGTTTTACTTTTTACGTTTTGTATTATAAAAAAAGAAAAAAAAAACTTTGGGGACCAGCTGTTAGTGTAAAGGTTATGTAGTGTAAAGGCTATGTCGCTGGACTGCCATGGAACTGACTACAGTTCGAGTCCTGGACCCAGTGGCTTAAACTCATGCTGGGTGCCATGTGCCTGCGTGCCCAAGCTCCAGAAAGGAGAATGTAGCAGAAGGGATTGCTGCGTGGCCATGCCCCCTGGGGGGTGATTTTTCACTTCCTGTCTCTCTGCTTCTCTCTCTTTCTGGTGAGCACACGTGCCCTATAGCAAAAACCTCTCCAAAAAATAAAAATAAATAAATAAACTTTGTACAAAACATAGTAAGAGCATAGTACATGGCATACAATCAAGTTAATAAGTGGTAGCTGCGATTACAAAATTGCCACGAGTATTTTTTTCCAAAGAACATAATAGAATCAACTAACACCAAAATAAGTATGAGGTTTCAGGAAGTTATTTTCTTTTTCCAATTTCAAAGTAAGGAATATAAAAATAGGAAAGAAACAGTGTTGAAATTCAGAGTCTCTGAGTTCCCAGAAAAATTGCTTGAGTTATTTTATTTCATTTTCTTTGTATATAATGAAAAATAGGGATATAAAAATGTATTAAAAATAAAAATGTAATTAAAGGACAAATCATACACTGACACTAATAAAATTCCATAGTAGCATTATAATCCTTATAATAAACATTTTTTGTTGTTTGTTTTTTGGAGAGGTTTTTCCTACAGGGCCCGTGCCCTCAGCAGAAAGACAGAGAGAGAGAAAGCGAGAAATCAGCGCCCCAGCGGGTATGGCCACACCACAATACCTTCTCCTCCATTCTCCTCTTGGGATCTTGGGCACATGCGCACATGCGCCCAGTGCGAATTTAAGCCACTGGGTCCAGGATTTGAACTGTTGTCAACTACATGTGAGTCTAGCGACATAGACATTATGCCAACTGCTGGTCCCTATAATAAATCTTTGATGGCTTTACTAATGAATTAACATTTGAAATGATTTGTAAGTAGTGAAAGGATCAGACAAAAGAGTAGAACTTTCTAGGCATAAGAAACAACAGGGGAACATCTCTTAAGTTTTCTATTCTTGGAAGCCTAAAGTAGAACTGGATATCGATCAAAAAGCAAATGAATAGACAGTGTTAGCAGATGAGGTTTAATTTTTATTATTACATTTACTGGTGTTCTGTATGTGTGCGTGTGTGTGTGTGTTTGTGTGTGTACCCCAAATCCCAAGAAGATACTGGAGGAGAAGAGTTTACAATATGGTCAGGCCCCTGGGTGGTGGTTTCTCACTTTCTCTTTCTGTCTCTCCAACAAGTACACATACCCTATAGCAAAAATCTCTCTCTCTCAAAAAAAAAAAAAAGGGGTCAAATTACAACTAATCATTTATGAAAAACAATTTTACTTTATTTCCCTACCACCCTCACCTTTCATCCACAAGGAAAATTTATTGAAGTTAGTATGGGCATTGAACCTGGTTCTCCCAGCAGCGATTTACATCTTTTAAATATTCATCACAGTTTTTCTGGGCACAATGATTTTTGGAGGGACAAGGTGTCTGAATAAATTCCAAAAATGAGAGAGTCATTTGAATAAGAAGTTAGAAATGGAGATAAGCAAAAACAGTATATTTTGAAATTTTCAAAGCAGAGACTGGCTTGCTTTGGTAAGATTGATTTTATTTGAGTTCCAGAGAGCTTGAAATTTGGCCCCAATAGTAAAATGCTACAAATTAACTCTATTCCAACCTGACTCGGCTCCTCAAAGCATTATGACCTGAGCCCCAGATGTTATGAGAGGTTAATAATATCCATGTAGGCCTGAAAGGAAGAAATGAATTGGTCTGAATGTTTGAATGGGAAAGGATGGATTATTATAGGCTGACTAGATGAAAGCCTTTGGAGAAAGTTTTAATGAACTTCATCAGAAGTGAGTATATTTAGTTAAATATGGACAGAAAGATTGGTTAATGAGAAGATATTCAAATTTATACCTCTTGGAATAACAGATAGTGTAGAGGTTATGCTGCTATACTCCCATATGGCCAAAAGTGGCTCGAGTCCCAGACATGGTGACTTGAAACTCACACTGTCACATGTGTGTGTATGCTCAAGATCCCAGAAAGAGAAGGGACTGCAGCATGGCCATACCTCCAGGGGAGGGGCGGGGGGTGATTCATCTTTCGTGAGCGCATGGTGTGTGTTATTTCTCACTTTCCCTGTCACTATCTCTGTTTCTCTCTTTCCAGTGAGCACATGCACCCTAAGGCAAAAAACTCTTTAAAACAATTAAGAAATTTGTATCTCTCACTTCTTGAAATTTAATTGTAGTAAGTTAGGATAATCAGTTAATAAGGATGACAGACAGTATGAATGAGTGAAGACAGACCTTAGAAGACACTACTTAACCAAATTATATTAATAGACAGTAGAAGAGAGAATTGCCTTGTTAAGAAAGTTTGATAGGATCTTTAAGTAGGAATGTTGTATGTTTGTAAGCAGCTGTGAAATCAGAGACTTGCATTTTCTTAAGGATGATTTTATAGAAGCTCCATCAGGTGGACGAAAGGAAAAGCTGACATTAACCTAGGATCTTCTATTATAATGAAAGGAAGTTTGGAGAAAAGCTTGCTTCTGACAGTTATATGAAGGTTGAAACTTGAAACTGGATGACTAAAAATAAATAAATAAATAAATCTAGATAAACTTGAAAATATGTTGAAATAAATAGGTTATAAAACTAGGAGTATAAATTAATAATGGTGAAATATAATTATAAGGACAGGAAATCTTATAAGAACATTTGTGGGGGAAAAAAGAACCTGAACTCAATGATTTTTAATATTCACATTAAGAAGTGAGACAGTTAGGCCTACAGGAACTGTAGTCTTAGGTGCTAGACTCCAGCATGACTGACCAAGGTTAAAGTTCCAGATATGGCCGCTTAGAAATCACTCCAGGCGAATGTGTTTTAGTGCCCAAAATCCCAGGAGGAAAATAGAGAAGGAATTGCAGTGAGGCCATCCCCCTAGAGGATGATTTCTCAAGTTCTCTCACTTTCTCTGGGTGAGCTCATGCTCCTTATAGAGAAACATAAAACAAAAAGAACAAAAAGTGAGACAGTCATACAGATGGGAAAAAAAAAGAACATTTTACCCTTGGTGTCAAATATGTGGTAAATGTCATAGCTGAATATATGTTGTGAAGGAATGAAATTCTCTGTATAAATGAAGTAAACAAAAACAAAATAAGCCAAAAAGCCTTCTTGGGTACACTTGAGCCTTAGAAGACAAGCACTGTTTTGAAAGACAGAGAAGCTTTTCCCAAGAGGGAGGTTGAGCAAATCCTGGAGAAAAAAAAAATAATAATTTGAGATGGTGGATAGATGATAATTCTACATTGCAATGAATGTTAGCTCATTTGCATACTCTCTTCCCATACTATAAGTTTAATAAAAAATATAAAGCTATAAGGATCTTATGGGTATCCTGAGACTGTGAATCTAAAATAACTCAATTGTTTAAGCATTTTACTGATTACATTTATTTTGTTTTTGTGCAGATGAATTCATTGTTCCTGGTTTCACATAAAATCTAAATCACAGAATACAGTACTAGAAGAATACAAGTATTAGAAAGAAATTGAACAATTACACAGTTTAAAATTTAGGTACTGACCTAATTGTAAAAAGAAAGAAAAATGCCATCAAGAAATATAAATCTACAGAAAGAAAACAAAGTAAAAAATACAGAAACAAATGTCACGAACATGAAAGACTTTGTACTCTTGGGCTTTTCTGATATTCCTGAATTCCACTGTCTTCTTTTTGCAGTATTCTTTATTATCTATATGATTATCCTGTTAGGGAATGGCATCATCATTCTAATAACAAGAGTAGATTCTACTCTTCACACACCTATGTATTTTTTCATTAGCAATTTTTCTTTTCTAGAAATCTGTTATGTCTCTGTCACTCTTCCTAGAATGCTCATGGATCTTTGGACCCAGGAAGGAATTATTTCATTTTCCGCCTGTGCTACACAAATGTTCTTCTTCCTCGTGCTGGGAGCCACAGAGTGTTTCCTTCTGGCTGTGATGGCCTATGACCGCTATGTGGCCATTTGCAACCCTCTGCACTATCCTCTAGTCATGAACCACAAGTTCTGCATCCAGCTGGTGGCTGCCTCCTGGATCAGTGGAATTCCGATCCAGATAGGGATGACTGTCCAGATTTTTACTCTTCCCTTTTGTGAATGCAACCAAATCAACCACTTCTTCTGTGACATTCCTGCCATGCTCAAACTGGCCTGTGGCAACATCTTTGTCAATGAGATGGTGGTCTATCTATGTGCTGTGTTATTTGTCACTCTTCCCTTTTTGTTGATCCTTGTATCCTATAGCAGAATTATCTCGACCATCCTGAAGTTGCCATCAAACACAGGAAGGACCAAAGCCTTTTCAACCTGTTCCTCCCACCTAATAGTTGTTGTTTTATTCTATGGTTCGGCCGCTATCAACTATTTAAAACCCCAATCCAATCAATATAAAGGAATAGACAAACTGCTCTCCCTTTTCTACACCATTTTGACCCCAATGTTCAATCCGATGATATACAGTCTGCGGAACAAAGATGTTACAGAGGCCCTGAGAAGGGTCCTTCCCAAATCATTGGCAATGAGAGACAACAGAAGTTAATAAAAATTATTTTTATTTGTTTAATTTGTATGTTTATAATTGAAAAACTACTTCAGTTTTGTCCTACATGTGTAAATATGTCAATGAAGTCATTTCCTTTTAGTGGAATCTATATCCTTAGAGTTATGGCAATTGTGTCAATTTCTTAACAATGTTCTACTTTCTAAGTCAGTCTTTATTCTCACTGTAAGCTGTAAAATAGCTTATAATTACATCATCTGGATGTGATGTGATTTATTGTATATTTAAGTTGACACCTTTCTAGAGAGTCTATCAATATTTTCTATTAAAGAGACAAAACACCTAGTCGTTACTGAATAATGTTATAGAAACAAAAGCCTGGGGCAGAAGGTGGGGCTGATGTGATGCCCTCAAGGCATTCTCACGTGTGAAGCATCCTAGGTCTAGTCTAGAGATCTCCCTGAAGGCACTGACTTGTCTATGATTCAAGGCTGGCTGAAGACTGGGTATGGAGTGTGGAATCAAGACCTTACCATGAGTACTCTCTCTCTGTCTTTCTGTTTATTCTCCTCCATTCTCCTCTCGGGATCTTGGGCACGTACGCACACGCGCCCGGCGTGAGTTTTAAGCCACCGGGTCCGGGACGCGAACCACAGTCGACTACGTGGGAGTCCAGAGACATAGCCATTACGCTAACTGCTGGTTCCCGCAAGACTTTTTTTTATGTAAAGAAAATTGGAATAATGAATGGTATAGTGAGAGGTAATTTAATAAATACTTGCGTAAATACATTAGACAATTTCCTAGTCATTAAAAAGCCCATGTTATGACTGTATAGTAATAGCCCCAATCAGTTCTTCTTTCTTGTACCCATGTTTTCTTTGTTGTCTCCTCCCACATAGACTGAGTTTAGTCATGCAATCAGCTTTGGCCAATGAGACATTCGCAAACACAAATAGTCCTTGGGCATTAGGACTTGTCTTTTCTAATAATGCAATCTTTCCACCACAATGTCAAAAGCCAAGGCTAGACTCCTACACAGTGAGAAAGAACATTTTAAAAAGCTGCAGCTTATATTTAAATAAATAATGTAAATCTGGTCTAAATATACTTCTGATATGTTATTTTAAGTGTTGTAAAACTACTGGAGACAGTAAGTGGCACAGGGGTTCAGATGCTGAATTTTCACATGGCCAATTGCAGTTATTGTTCTGTACCTGATGGCTTGCTTTCTCACTTTCCCTAGCTCTCTCTCTCTGTCCCTCTCTGGTAAGCACATGTGCCCTGTAGCAAATTAAAACATAAAAATAATGATAAATGAAAATTTAAAAATTATTTAAAGTTGTAAAACTACTATTTAACATTCTCTAAAATTTTGACATTGAAATAGCAGTTTTTATGATGTCTTAAGACAGAAGGGAGGAATGAATAGGTAGCAACATATGTCACTAAAAGATGTTGATAATGCAGGAAAATATGTATATATAGAGGAAGGAAAACTATGGGAAATATTGGGTCACCAGAAAAGTTATGACATATTTTTTAATGTTTTGACTTAATGCAAAAATGTGTCATGACCTTTCCGATGGCCCAATAGTAGACTTCGCATTTGACCAATTTTACTGTGAACTTAAAACTTTTCTAAAATATAAATTTTATTTAATACAGTTCTCCAATTTCATTGATCTTTCAAAAGAAAAAAAACATTTTGATTTGTTTTATTTTTTTCTATTATTTTTTATTTTCTATTTTATTATGCTTATTCTCATTTTTTTTATCCTCTCCTATTAATTTTGTTTTAACTTACTTTTCTATTTCCGGTGTTTTAATGTGAAAAAGTAAGTTATTAAATTGAAATATTACTGTTTTTCACTATAAGGTATACATAGTTTTACACTCTGAACACTGCTTCAGCTATATATCATGATTTTGTATATTGTTCTTTTATTATTTTTTGAAGGATTTTTGTTATAGGGCATGTGTACTCTCTAGAATGACTGAGAGAGACAGAGAGACAGCAAGCATGAAATCACCCCCCAGGGGGAATGGCCATGCCACAATCCTTTCTCCTCCATTCTCCTCTCGGGATCTTGGGCATGCATGCACATGCATGCAGCGTGAGTTTAAGCCACTGGATCTGGGACTCAAACTGAAATGGACTACATGGGAGTTCAGCGACATAGCCATTACTCCAACAGCTGGTTCCTGGTATATTGTTCTTTTTTGTCCATTCATCTCAAATTTGTTTCTGATTTCCCACATTATTTATTTTATTTTCTGCTTATTTAGAAGTATGCTTGGGACCAGCAGTTGGTATAATGGCTATGTTTCCTTAACCATTGATTTAAGGCCAACCTATATCTATAATTCTTCATTGATAGTTCTTATTCTATGAAACATTGTTGTTACAGCTTCTTTCAACTCTTTATACATTTAGATCTTTGAAAATCTTTTTAATGACTTCTTTGATTTGTTTTTCTAGTCCAATATCTGTGCCCCTAAAAAAAGTACTTTCTACTATATTTGTTCTCTTTTTTTTTCCTAAGGAGTCACATTTTACAATTTCTTTTCATTAAATGGCAGAAAAATGGGGGAAAAGGAAATGGAATGCAAAGCCAGTTGCTTTCAGATGTTAATGGCTAATGATGTGAGAACAACTGGTGCCACATGATTTCTCTGATCTTCTGGGGATGAATCAGATAAACACATATGACTTCTTTAATCTGATACTGTTTTGCAGTATCTATAACAGCATGCAGCTAGCATGTTCGTATGTTAATTGCTTTCATTGCTATGAAAATGAAGGTCATGGAACTGCATTTCTGCAGGTGTCTCAAGTTCACCATGTTTGTTCACAGTGGCCATTCTCCACACTATTATGTGTTATTTTCTCTGCACGGTGCACTCTCTGATGATTTTGTTCAAGTAGTTTTGTCCTGTTTTAAAATCATTTAACCATGGTTGCCTAGGATTCATCCCTTTGAGGTATAAACCTCAAAAAGGTAATTGGTCAAAAGTACAAGGAGTCCTCAAAAAGTTTATAAAAATACATATTATAAAAAATCTATTTATAAATTATTTCTTTTTTTAACTCCCCATATATACTTATGTTTTAGGGCCAGATGGTGGCATGATGGTGTCACAATTTGTCCAATTGGAGAAAGATTCTGAGTTCACATCCTTCTAGTTCTTTGTGCATGTTGGGACCAAACATTTGTGCCTATAATCAATGCTGTCTGCAATCAGATTGTGGTATGTGGACCTAGCTGGTCATGGCAATCTGTCTCTCTCTGACTCTATTCTTCATAAAATAAATGTTATTAAAAATAGTAGGGGGACCAGCAGTTAGTGTAATGGCTATGTTGCTGGACTCCCACATAGTCAACCGCGGTTCGATTCCTGGACCTGGTGGCTTAAACTCATGCCAGGCACGTTTGCGTGTGCATCCAAGATCCTGAGAGGAGAATGGAGGAGAAGGGATTGCGGCGTGGCCATCCCCCCGGGAGGTGATTTCTTGCTTTCTGTCTCTCTGTATCTCTCTGTCTGTATGACGAGCACATACACCCTATAGCAAAAAACCTCTCCAAAAAAAAAAAAAAA